GGCAACTATAGGCAGTGTGATCATATTCTGACATTAGAAGACAAATATACTTCATGCTATTTATGAAATTATCTCTAATACTATCTATATATATATTATCTATGCTTCAAAAGCATGGTTACCATGGCCAGTTGTTTCCAGTTGTGCTGTTTCAACAACTATGTCAAGAAACCCCATGCAGGTGACAAAACACCAGTGCCAGATTAACCATATGGCAGAAGCGGCATATGCCACATGCCCCACGGTTTTCCTTATTTCAGTGCAGGGCCCAACCAAACATAATGCACACTGCACAGCAGGTATACACTTTTAGGTATTACTTGTCATATGATATTATTGTTGATACCCATTGTGTCACTTAATTTTAGTACAAATTATTGATGTATACTTCCTTTTTTTGTAAATACACAAATTTCAAGCAACTTCTCAACACGTACAATACAAAAGGATATGTTTATGTTTTTGAATCTTTCTGAATTCAGTGTTTAAAATGCAGGGGGGGCGCTGTCTTGGGTCCTCGCACTGATAAAATGCCACAGGTGGACAGGCCCCGCGAAATGTTAATTAATCTGGCCCTGCAAAACACAACATTGTTGCAACCAGTGTTTCTTTTTTGAATACCCCTGGGGCATATATAAACCAACAAGCACATATATATGCTGGGAATTTGGTGGAAAAGCACCTACAGATATTTTACAATAACAAATGTTTAGATATAAATGAATGATCAAAATTAATAATAAACTTTACACTCTGCATGCCTTTGGAGTCACTGCACTAAAACAATATACACTGTCACTGATTACACTATACAACTGAAAGTTCAAAATTCAAATGCAATATAAAAGTGGATTCACTCTACAGAAAGCTTTATTAAGGTTGCCTTCCAGTTTAACAAAATGACAAATTTAAAAAGTACAAATATATTTAGTAACAACAAAGACATGTATATATATTTTGTAAAAAGGCTTAGTATTAAAGATGGATAATTGAAAGTTTGAACCCCTCTGGTTGATCAAGGTTAAACATAATTGATAAAACGAACTACTTACTTTACCTTAACAGTATGCTTGAGTAAACTAGAAATTATCGTGTTGTCATGCCACTGTGGATATAAAATATTATTCCCGCATGGCAACTTTGAACGAACCAAACTGACGATATTTTAAGGCAATCTGGATAATTTTCGTTTTAACAGCATTAACATAACATCTTTTATCCACTGTGGAGCGACCAACTTGGTAAAACTTCGCAAAGTATCTCACATTTGGCAAAATTCACCTTAGTTCGCGTTGTTCGCCATACTGTTCACATTTCTATAGTAATTTGTGTCACAGAAGTTATATCCAGTCTACTATTAATAGATCAGTGAGTCCAGTCCGCGTTTTACCTCTATGGTTTTACTACTCTGAGTCCAGTCCGCGTTTTACTAATCTGAGTCCAGTCCGCGTTTTACTAATCTGAGTCCAGTCCGCGTTTTACTAATCTGAGTCCAGTCCGCGTTTTACTAATCTGAGTCCAGTCCGCGTTTTACTAATCTGAGTCCAGTCCGCGTTTTACTAATCTGAGTCCAGTCCGCGTTTTACTAATCTGAGTCCAGTCCGCGTTTTACCAGTCCAGTCCAGTCCGCGTTTTACCATATGCCTATTATTGTTGCATGCGTAAGTCCTGAGATGTGGTAAATTTATAGGTCTGGTGAGAATTATTTGATCGACATTTGGCGCATAAAAGCGCTTGAATATATTTGGGGTTTGGAAATAATTGTAGGTAGAATTCATACAAAAGAAGTGGCAATCCTAGTTGAATTGATACTGCACTATTAGTACTTGAAAAAATCCTTAAATTGTTATTACAACCGACTTAAAGGGGCAATGTCACCGATTTTTGAGGAATTCTGACTCTCTCAAAACTTGTACAAAACTGAGAAAGAATGGCTGTAATTACAAAATAAAGCAATAACAAACACAAAAAGCGTATTACTCTTATGTCATACATAAATTTACATTTCACACTGTAAATAAAATGCATTTTTAGTCAAATATGGGTGACATTGCCTCTTTAATTTCGCAAATAATTGTCAGTATAATAGAAATTATTAAATTATAATTTATTATTAAATTAAAAAATTATAAATTATTATTATCGCGACATTTATGCTATCATCCGCGTTTTATCCCCCATCCGCATTTTCCCATCCGCGTTTTATCCCCCATCCGCATTTTCCCATCCGCGTTTTATCCCCCATCCGCATTTTCCCATCCGCGTTTTATCTCCCATCCGCATTTTCCCATCCGCGTTTTATCCCCCATCCGCATTTTCTCATCCGCGTTTTATCCCCTATCCGCATTTTCCCATCCGCGTTTTATCCCCCATCCGCATTTTCCCATCCGCGTTTTATCCCCCATCCGCATTTTCTCATCCGTATTTTCTCATCCGCATCCGTATCCGCCATCCGCATCCGTATCCGCCCTTTATCCCTACCCTTTAGCATCATGCATGTTTTTCGCTCGGCAACCTCTGCTCGGCAACTATAGGGAGATTTCATGCTATTTTGGACAACACAGAGCTTTTATCCTTTAAAAGGCTCCTGAATTAACCACGTTTGTTTAACGTATTCTGCCATAGCAAATAACAGGTGGGCATGTTTTGAAGTGTTATTCTTAAAATTATCGTCCAACTTCGTGGCTGCAATGCCAAGTGATGTAGCCTCCGCTCTCTGGTCTTGAATTATACTTTCAAGAGGACAAATAACAAGACTACTATAAGAAATATTCGATCCCTGCTCGTGCTGGCATGTAGCAAGCTTTGATTTGGCGATAATGCATAATAATTGAAAGATTAAACTTCTTCCGTATCCCATAGGAAGAGTCGCGATATAAACGTCTTCACCACGTAGCAAATTAATAATAGACTTTTTCTGTTGTGGTTTCAACTGAATCAGTTCGAAACCTAAAAGACTTGAAATATCAGAAAGAGTTTCCTCCAAAGCATTAACAGCCATATTTTTTATGAGAATAATACGCGGGCAAAATTATTGTTGACATTTGAGTTACGTAATTACTTCCGTCAACGAGATTGACCAATGGGAATTAAGCCGACGTTTTTTCGGTCAAAAACACATTTGGCACAGCCATCTGGGCAGGCGTTTCCTCGCTGCCGCCATCTCTTCTCCTGAACCACGGTTGTTGCTCTTCTCCCGATTGAACTAAACTCCTGCTACGCAGGCTACTTCGAAAGTGCCTGCTTTGCTCTTTCGTATAAATAGACGGCCAGCCAACCTCAATGAAAGTGTATCTAAAATGCCATTGATGGCATTTTTTGTTACAAGCTGGCAACTGGCGTTTTCGTATAGCTTAGACACTGGAGAACAACGTTTGATAGGTTGCCACCTCTCTGATATTGGCTTTAAAGTGAAAAAAATCTGAAAACTTTGCCTATTAAAATTGCTATAGTCACTAAACTGTGAAATTTGAAACCAACTTTCAGCAAAAATCACCTATATAATCAGAACGTTGGGAAAAAAGTAGATATAGAACATTTAAGTGAGAAGTGTGAATTTACAACCCTGTTTTCAGTTACAGGCGCTTAAAGTTGCTAAAGAACTGCTTTTGTGACGTCATTCACCGCATTTTACCTATTTTTAAGTGTTCGTAACTGGAATTTGGCTAAATAAATCGTATTACTTGTTTAAATGCCTTATATATACTTTTTATGCTCTTTCTAACGACAGAAACGATGCTAACTTAAGTAAACTTCATATTTCACATTTTTTTGGGATTATAATAATTTAATAGGCAAACTTTTCAAATGCTTAAAATTTTCTCTTCGTTCGTTAAAATCAGAGGTGGCAACATATCAAAGTGAGACACCAGTGTCTAAGCTAGCTTGTGTGCTTGTAACCAAAAATGCCATCGACAGTCGTATTTTGACGGCTGGCTGGCCTTCTAAAATGGGTCCGAACATATTCAACGAATCACTCAACTAAAATACTAAAATATCAATATGATCCGATTATACCCCGTAATATGATACACTTCGCAAAGTATAAGCGACTCAGTTTTGCAACTCGGCAGACTATTTTCTTTCATTCCAAACATTTTTTTACTATCGATTTCCCTGTCAAATTGAAACCCAAGTATTTTTTAAAAAACTGTTGCACTCTGGGCTAGACTTTTTATAGAGTCATTTAAAATTGAAAATACACCTCAACTATCTTACAATTCGTAGTTTTTTTGTGGCTCTATAAGATGCCAAAAAATGTTTCCGGAGGTTTGTTTCCAAGAGAGAAAATCATGAACCTCAGCAGTCTGATTTTATTATATGGAAACTTTGGAGCTTATCTTGTAGTATTTTACAGCTTTCAATATGATTTTATCTGGTATCATAACATATTACTAATTTAACTATATATCTTAGTAAAGTTGATCGATGTGGTTCAGACACAAATTACGGATCCCCATGTTTCAAATTGTAAACCTATAGCTCAACATATACCATTTTAATGCCGGTATAGAATTTTTTATGACTGCGCCGCTGTTATGACTCATGCACGTGTGTAGGCGTTCTCATGCATGGACTGAGTAAATATTTCCTGTGCGCGTGGATGTATTTACTTCCACCATGTTCAATATACTGTCAATTCTGAAGTTATAGATACCATTGTCCAAAAAGTTATCAGCGTCACAGACTTTTTTCAAGCGCGAAATGTTGCGTTTGTAACAAATTTACACAAGTATTGAGATATCTAGTAATAAACATACTTATAGGACCCAACCTCCTCCCTGCCCGTGTGTCGGGACGCATATACACGGCTATATGTAAACTCTTATATACATAATTGTGTATAGACCTGCATACATACCGTCAATAACATCTGCGACATTTACTTTCTCTTGTGATGGAGCATTTTTCTTGCGTCGTCTGGGAGAACTCCAGTCAAATTTCTGTGCTAATTCCTCTGTGTCAAATGCTTCCTCCTCGCTAGAACTGTTGTCCAGCATATTGTTATTCGACGTCCTTCTACCCAGGCCGAACTTACTATAGTCCGGCGCGGCCGGAATGGGACTGGTACTAGTCAGTTGGAAGGTGGATGTTTGCACTGTGATTGCACTATGCTTGACGGATTGTGACGGTGATTTCCGATAGCTCTTCGTTCGTTTTTCGCTTCTCCGTCGTCGGTAGAAGATGAACATCAATATGGCGGATATGAAGGCGACCGCGAACACTACAATACCAGCAATCGCAGGCGTCGAAACTGAAATTAAGATGAGGTAGCATGGTAACAGTGGCATTCCTCAAACTTATAAACTAAGACTTTTTGAAATCTCGTTAGAATTACGTACTGAGAAATGTGACTGTGCGATAACCTTATAGCTCATAGCTGCCAAATTTTCAAGTCACTTACCTTTAGATAAATTGCTATAAATTCTTAAGTTTAATTTGGCTTACATCAATCAACGGCCAATTTTATAAAGCTTGAAAAAATCACTATATTACAAAGGCCGCGGATAGCGTTACCGCCAACCAGTCCAAAGTCTTCACTTCAGACCGAAGTGTAGACCGAGAGATAAAAGGGTAGATATTTCAATTAGTTCTATAGTTAGGTCTACAGTGTGAAAGAATACTGAATAAAGCACAAGCTAGGCCAGGGCGCTTTCGGATTCCATTTAGATCTGATCGCTGGAATACACTAAATGTTTAGGCTACGCACCCGTAAAATTTGGATCAAATCAAAAGGTCCGTTTCGGTGAGATTTTCGAGAAATCTGGACCAGCCAGACCTTTGCATTATACTCTGAGCAGAGATTCCCGATCTGCTCTGACCGGTGTAGCCGTTAAATAGAAAGCGCCCCAGTTTCTTCTGTTAACAAAAAGAAGTCAAAAATCCACTATATAGTCATAGAAAGCTTGTAAACAACTTTGTACGCATATTAAAGCGTTCAAGTTACAATATATTTATATAGATAGGCCATAGGCATAGCCTATATATATATGTATATACGCTAGGCAACTCACCGTTGTAAAATAGACTTTGATTTGAAAAGATTGGACACAAAATACTTTACATTATAACACTAAACACAGAGCATGTTGACTATTCGGTACACAACTTTCTCTGACTTTTACGCATTCATACACCGGACCACAAACACCTAAGATACCAGACTGCACCGCCATATGCCACGTCACAACAAAGGATTGAATAAAAGGCAAAGATCGCGTCACTTACGTTTTTGGCTGTTGTCTTTGATGGCTGTCTGTTTAACTGCTCTTTTAAATACCTCGTTTTGGTCTTGAGTAAAATCCGAGTCGAATGAGACATCAAGCGGTTGTTTTTGGTCCATAATCGTGAGAAAGACAGTAAGTAAATTCAGCTGACTCAATACTTAGGCAACATTTCGAGGCGAGTCGAGAGCGGTGGCGTTGTAGCCCTGTCATATCGGCATCGATCATTTGTCCTGGCCACCTGTCGATATATGCACGGCTGTCCAAGCTTTCCGCTTCGTTTATTTGCATACATGAATGCTATAAATAATCTGTATGCTAATTTTTACGATTGTATAATCAGGAGCGTAGATAAGGGAATATCATAGCTATAACAATATAATCCCAAGAATATGATTGGCCATATAGATGCGTGAAATATAGCTTCAAATATAAGCAAAACCGTTCAATCACAACTGCTTAATTGTAGTTATTTAACCATATTTTCAGAGTATTTTATGTTTATTATAGGCTATATATAGTATAGCGGCATAGCAGTTATCCTCTTTTTGTGTCCTTCGAGTTTTTCCGCATGAAAACAACTTCCTCTACATATGCAGCTTCTAAGTTTTCAATTTTTTCCAAACATTTTACAGATTTTAATGAAATTATAGGGATCGATCCTGTTGGTCTTAGTATGCTTTATTGTCGTCGTTTTCGGTTCCTCTGATAAATATATCTCAAAAGTCCTTCGAAATTTTTGCTAAGGGAAGGTTTCCCGCCATCTTCTTTGGATTTGTAATAGACCATGGTGTTGAGTATATACTAATAAAGGATGACCCTTATATTGGACCCGTTAATCATGTATGTTATCTCAAATGCGGGGTCCAGTTTAAGTATTCGTCTACGATAAGGCAGCGTGTGTATTGAAAGACACATTGAATCGAAAGGCTCGAGATTTAGAGGTGCAAAAATACAGACATTCGCTTCTTAAATTAAAGAGTCATATCCAGTTAGCCTCGAAAGTATATACAACATATACTCATGCTGTGCTATGTATATTTAAAATGTGGCACTTAAAATGTGAAGTGACACTTTATGTGAAATGGGTTCTTAATAATCATCCTTTGTCTGATAGCAGGAAGCCTATATCGCTACTGTCTATATTGAGCAGCTGTTCTAGGTTATAATCTTCCCATGTTTCATTGTTTTTGTCTAACGTACGCGTTTTTGTGAAGATAAATATATATACATAAGCAGTATTTTTGGGTATCTTTTTTCTTGAAACAATATAGAGTGCATGGCATTGAGGGGGAAATTTAGTCCAGAAAGGGACATTTAATTTGGAATCTTGATAATGGGGCCCAAATTAATGACTGTGCAAAACCAAGAAACGTTTTTCCCATCATTTTGGCTTCCATTCTAGTGCCTTCAAGTATTGAATCCTGATTTTATCGACATGCAGTCTTGACTGTTTTACCTTTGCTTGTGGAAAAAAATTGAGGAAAAAAACACACTTTAAAACATTTCTACCGTGTTAAATCTTGTTTTGTAAATCGTATACAAAAATAATGTATTTTATATTGTGTTTTATTGTTATAATCAACACAGAACCTTTCCGATAGCTTCGCGATGACGCAAACTTCGCAGATTTATACAGAGCTTAATTTTCACAGCAGCTTCGGACTATAACGGATATTGCATGCCAGTGAAACGAATATAACTGGAACGCTATACCTTCACATAAACTGTCTATCTTTTTCTTAAAACCAAATCTGACCCCCCAGACACGCAAGATCCGCGTGATTATGCCTCGCGATTCTCTCGCGAGACCAGTAGTTCAGGGAGCGAGCACGCTCCTTCAATAATCAATAGACCTTTCCCCTTTTAAGTGAAATTTTGATCTAGACTAGCCTGGGCAAAAATTTTATCACAGCTTGAAAAAGCATCACAAAATTAGTAACATTCCGAAGTTTCGTTGAGAAATGTTGTAAAATGCGGTTAGTATAGCCTTGCGAAGTTTGCCGTTTTTCAGTCATTTTGTATTACAAATGGGAAATTGATAATCAGATGATCAAACTGATTATCAATTTCCCGTTTGTAATCTAAAATGACTGAAAAACGGCAAACTTCGCAAGGCTATATTATCCGTATTTTACAACATTTCGCAACGAAACTTTGGAATATTACTAAGCTGTGATGAAATTTTTGTCCAGACTAGTCTAGATCAAAATTTCACTTAAAAGGGGAAAGGTCTATTCATGGAGCGAGCACGCTCTTTCAATAATCAATTCAGGGAGCGAGCACGCTCCTTCAATAATCAATTATTAGAAAAAAATTAAGGAAAAGGAAGTTTTACCTGAATAAATGCATTTACAGAAAGCTTTGAGCGCTGTTAAAAAGCTTTTTTGTGTAAAGCCGGTTTTTAAGAAGACATCAGTCATGTTGACGGATTGACCGTACTCTTCGCATGAGTGAAAGGACTGGGACTAGCCTTCAAGTTTGGCTTCAAATTTCCGGTTGGAGGTAACACTCCAGTTATATTCATTTCCCTGTTACATGCTAGTTCAGTCTTTCGTACGGTTTCGCGGTTAACAGAAGCGATCACGCAGACGCCACAAGGGGCTGATCAGTAATATAACTGCGCATCTAAATGACGCGTTCTAGGTGGGGAAAACATGTAACTGACACTGGAAGATTTAAGATATGCATATCAAAGTATTCAACTGTTCAATCGACGCAACTAGACTATTTGAGTACGCAAAAAAGTTGCTTGAAGAACAATTAGTTTCAGTATGCTGCAAAGTGTCGTCCATCAACTATATACTTTAAAAGTTATTGAATAATTGGATATGCACTAATCGTTATCCCCCCATGCTCAACTACCGGGTGTCCCCCAAAAAACTTGCGCTGTTTGATTTAATGTAACATAAAAACTATAAAAGCTATTGCACTCAAATAAGTTATATTGTATTCAGAAAGGGCTAACTTTGATTTTGATATATAACATTTGAATATCCGTGCCATATTTACTGAGCTATCGATGTTTTAAATCGAATAAGCATATTTGACAATCAATGTTAAACATTTGCATAAAATTGCCTATCAAATATTATTTGGTTAAAGTTGATTATATAGTTTTATTGTGGCCAAAAGAACGAATGAAAAACATAATTGTTGGATAAACATTTATTCATTCATCATAGAAAGTATGTCCTTTTTCACGTATACAATGTCTTGCATGGGAAACCATAAAACCCAAACTCTTTGATCTTTTGTTAATCGAGGCATATTCGAAAGGCGAACGACGAACTCTCAAAGGACGTCAAATATGCTTTCAAACGTTTTTATATGTTTCATGCTTATTTCGCTTCCCAAGAAACACGAAAGGTTAACTTATACTAGGACATTACCAGAAATGAACGTTGAGTTGAAATGCTGAAATTGTCAATTTTTGTGGAAAATGGCAATTTGTTTTCATATAAATTTGTCAGCCATGTTTCTCGATTTTTTACTCATTTTTAAAGCATGCGCCACATTCAAACGTTTGTATCTCACGTAATATTACATGAAATTTTTAGGGCTGTATATCAAAATCTAAGTTAGCCTTTCCTCAATACAATAAAACTTATTTGAGTGTAATAGCTTTTATAGTTTTTGTCTTACATCAAATCAAACACCGCAAGTTTTTTTTGGGACACCCGGTACATGTTATGATTTAAGGTGGCTCCCTACAGTTGTTTAAGCATGGGACTGGTAACGAAATGACGCGAAAGGTTTGTAATGCAATAACTTTTTTCCTTCGGTGAATGTTTCTGAAAACGTTTCCGCTGCTGTTTCTTTACAACTGTAGCGAGCCACCTTAACAGCAATTTTAGCCCAAAGCAGAAGGGGTCATTTGGACCCGCAGTCGACACCATGAATTGGCATGCCGTAATATCCATTATGTACATACACACATTTATAGTACCCAAAGGGCACGCATTAAATATTCACCCTACTCTACAACATTTTCATCCACTTGCTCTTCACATCCCTCATTATCCATACCTACCATCGATACTCCCTTGCGTTTAGGAATGACGTCATAAAAAGAACGTTGCCAATCCTTTGTCTCCAGATACTTGAGCATAATTTCAAACACTAAAAATATTTATTAGTTTCATGTGGGTGTTTTGTGAAAAAAACCCGTGTATGTTTATTTGTATATTTATACATGAATAAATTTGTTGATAAAAGTTAACATGCTTTTTAACCTAGACAAAACGGAATATCTTTTGATTGGATCACGGTACAATATTAACACGTTGGAAGAACAACCGCGTGTTTTTATTGGGATGAACCAATTAAAGAGGTTCAGTTTACAAAAGCTCTTGGTGTCAAAATTGATCAATTTTTAACTTGGGACAGTCATATTGATCATAGTTCGAAAAAAAATCTTCTGGAATAAGAGCTATGAAAAAGATAAAGGATTTCAATGATTCCGATACTTTGATGTCAGTCCATGTGGTCTTGTCCAACCTACCCTGAGACCTGATTTCCCCTCGCGTAAGTTGTGCAATTTTCTGCAGTGTATATTTCATGTTGTCTGTACATGTATATTCTTTGGAGACACCATTTGCCTCTGACAAATCGCAAAATAATCAAGATAGTGACTCCGATTGATTTACATATTGTATTGACATATGGCTGTTGGCATCACTAAACTTCAATATTTGAGTGAGTCATGCCATAGTCACGCTTTGGAAATGACAATAAATTTTGTTTACCTAACCCTTTTCTCTTCGGTGCCCCAATAAATAATGACCAGTCCCTAAAAGCATGATTCCACGACGGCGAAATTCTTCGTGAGAAATTGCGAAATACAGATAGTTGCACATGAGCGATTCTATTGAATTGTCCCACTTTTTCCGCTTTCGCAGTGAGTAGAACTGACTTATACTCACTGGTGAAGCGAATGTTTTTCTTGCGATGCCTAATTTCTCTTTACTGCGCATGCATCTAATTCATTTCGCGCGAAATTTTTCGCATTTCGCCAAAGACAGCGCCCGTGGAATCAGGCTTTAAAACGCGCGTGTAAAGCTTTCGGATCGATGTTTTTCAGTTTTTGCACGTAAATGCTCATTTTAGTGGTAAATAACCTATCTACAAGGTAAAAACTAAATGACAAGGTAGGGTTGATGCAACTGCATGAAGTCCATAGTATCCTACGTTCTGTTAATAATCCTCATAGATGACTTAGAAAAACAAAAGGTTGCTGATGTTTCCCAACGGTTTTTTATCCGAAGTTGTTTTCCACTCGTGTTTCTAAAATTTACTTCTGAAAGACCACTTGCCATAGCAAAGCCTCAACAAACAATAGGCTGAAAAATTATGAATGCCGTGTTTTGTACTGAATTTAGTGAAAGTTCGCGGAAGGGGAATACCTACAAGATGGGCTCCAATTTCCGCCATATTCAGAGTTCTCCACAGTTGTGAGTGGGACAGGTAAAACAGGTTTTTCAACAGGTATAAGCGTGAAGTCGCACCTAAAAGCCTCTAGGGGTTCCGGGGTATACCCACGAACAATTTTGAAATCTAGAGTCTCTGAAATGGCATTTCCTGCATCTTGAGGGAAATTTAAACTTTTATAGAATACTAAAGATTATATTCTAAACACACGCCTTAAATTAAATAAACATTTTTAGCTATTTAATTACTCAGTCCCTAGCCCTAGGACCATGCACGCTGGGTTGATAATATAATCATTCCGCCAAAAAAATTTCTTCATCGATCGGGTTTATACAGTAGGACATTTCTGTATTCAATCTGTATCGATGCTAAATAATGTAGAATTTAAGCAATGCTTGATTGATTAATCATAGGATTTTTGCACACCGTATTACTAATTATTTCTTAACAAATGTACACAAACTCTGGGCTTCTCCAGGCGGTAATCAGTGGTCGTGGAAACGGTAAATTTTACAGATTACCGCCGATAAGGAGAACCCTGATATCGGCTTCCAAAACAAAGCCACAGATATCGTTCCAGTCATATATGGAGTTCACTGTATTGGATCAGTACTTCCAGTGAGTGTTAACCAAACACTACAGGTTTTCGTTGGGTATACTATATATATGGTTTTCTCCTGTAGTGAAACTCGATAAAAAAGATATGACCCTTCTGGACCCCTTTCCCCTTGGGAAAACAGATTGGAAAGATTGATAGAGCTGTTCGGTATTAATAATGTTCACTTAGATTTAGGCCCAAGTTACAAGACGTTTTTTAGGCAGACATTGCTTCTGAATGGTATATGTTGATGTCTTGGCTGTAACAGGGTGTCTTAACCGCAGAGGTTTATTTTATTTTGAAAAGCATTGTTAATTATCTGCAACGGTCTTTTTCCAAAGAGAATCTTTTGATGTAATAAACCAAGTAAAAACTAATACAGTGTATAGTACTCACCATGATTAACAGTTAGTACAGTTCTAGACTGCAACTTTACGAAGTTTTTTATTGGTAGCTGTGCATGAGTCACGTGATTTTCCACTGCAATCCTATGACACAATCCCTAAAAATGGCAAAAATATTGTTTTCCCACATGTTTTTGGCGGAAGCTGAATAGGTCTTTTAGACGAAATCTTCAAAAAATTTAGAACTATTTAACTACCATTTCTTAATTGCAGCGTGTCTGCTGGACTTCATGAGGATTTTCCAAATAGTATTTTAAAATTTATTTATTTACAAGATTCGTCATATTGATCGATTCGTCAAATTGAGATTGTCATGCACAACAAACAATTATACATTTGGACATTTGTACGAAAACGCCACACAAAAACATGTCATATATACATAAGCAGTAACTGACAACAGAGATAGTCTGCAATAACGGGGTCCTAACAAATATTAACACACAAATATTAATACGCTTTCGCCGAACTGTCAACATGTTCTTACAGACAAGTTGAGGAAAGGACGAGTGACATTTGACACACACAGACTTTACTAAAATAATTTAATTTTTTGAAAGTGTGAAGACCTCTTTATAGGTAAACCTCGGCTAAACAAAACTTGCATGCTCAAATTTGACAAATTGTCAAGACAAAATAATTAGACATTATGGTATGCATACTTATAGATGGGACTATATCATGTTACTTAAACCATAGACAGTAGCAAAACATATCTAATATATTTTACTTGGGTGGATGCCCTGGGGCCGGTTGCATAAAAGTCTTAACTACTTTTAACCACTATTCTGTAGTTAAATGTTAAAATATGCGATTTTGATTGGCAAACTTTCGCACTAACTGTAGTTGACTTTAACTACCTTTTCATACAACCAGCCCCTGAAATGCAAACTGTGTAATAATTTCCAACGCAGAACCTCAACCTATACTTACTTTGTGATGATTATGATCTACAAGACCTCCAATAATGTAAGCTTTTGATAGGTCAATCTCTGAGAAATAAAACAACTTATAAAATTAAAATTATTGATGTAGTTTCGTTGCATATCAATACAGGTTATTTGTTGAAGTGGTATAGTCATCTAAAATATTATGTTTGTGGAAACGGTTCCAAAGCTTTTAGGCTAACATTTATCCCTTTATCAAATATTTCACCAACGTTTCTAACAATTCAAATCTATTTGAAATTCCTTATACCTTCCAAAACATTTTCCGAGTCCGATGTAAGGTAGACAATATCGTCTCTCTTGAACACATCTAAGTATCCTTCATTTTTAATGTGAATCTATGAAATGGAATCAGTCTAATTAAATTGAGCGAAAACTAAAGCCGGAATCACAAGACTATACGAAACTCAAAGCGGGGAAACTATTAAAACTGAGTTGAAAACTAAAAAAGCGGGAAAACTATAAGCTAAACTGCACGAAAACTACAGGCAGGAAAGTTAAACTAAACTGAGTGAAAACCATGGGCGGGAAAACTAAACTAAACTGAGTGAAAACTAAAGGTGGGAAATCTAAACTAAACGGAGTGAAAACAAAAGGCGGGAAAAGTAAACTTAACTGAGAGAAAATTAAAGGTGGGAAAACTAAACCAAAACTGAGTGAAAATCAAGGCGGGAAAACTAAACTGAGTGAAAACAAAAGGCGGGAAAAGTAAACTAAACTGAGAGAAAATTAAAGGTGGGAAAAGTATAAACTAAAACTGAGTGAAAATTAAAGGCGGGAAAACTAAACTAACTGAGTGAAAATCAAAGGCGGGAAAACTAAACTAACTAAGTGAAAACAAAAGGCGGGAAAAGTATAAACTAAACAGAGAGAGAATTAAAGGTGGGAAAAGTATAAACTAAAACTGAGTGAAAATTAAAGGCGGGAAAACTAAACTAACTGAGTGAAAACAAAAGGCGGGAAAAGTAAACTAAACTGAGTGAAAATTAAAGGCGGGAAACTAAACTGAATGAAAACAAAAGGCGGGAAAAGTAAACTAAACTGAGTGAAAACTAAAGGTGGGAAAAGTATAAACTAAACTGAAAGAAAATTAAAGGTGGGAAAACTAAACTAAACGGAAGTGGAAATTAAAGGTAGGAAAACTAAACTAAACTGAGTGAACATTAAAGGCAGGAAAACTAAACTAAAACTGAGTGAAAATTAAAGGCGGGAAAATTAAACTAACGGAGTGAAAACAAAAGGCGGGAAAAGTAAACTAAACGGAGTGAAAATTAAAGGCGGGAAAACAAAACTAAACTGAGTGAAAATTAAAGGCGGGGAAAAATATTAAAGGCGTGAAAACTAAACTAAAACTGAGTGGGAATTACAGTCCGGAAAACTAAACTAAACTGAACGAAAACTAAGAGGGGAAATTACACTTAAGTGAGCGGACAATGGCAATGCGGGGGAAACGCGGTTTTTCCTCCTAAACAAACGAAACATTTCAGAGAACTTTCACCTGTTTTAACTTACATCCCAATTTTTGTATTCTTTGTAGACTTCTTCCGTAATTGCTTGAATATTACCTCCAAAACCAGTTAAGTATAGCTAATGTGGGTAAAAAGAGAAAAATCATTTCCTCTACTCTTACTAATTTTTCTTTTAATTTTAACAATTACGCCAGTTCGTGGTGTCGACTGCGCATCGAAATCACGCATGTTTCACTGGGACAAAATTACAGATAAATCAATTCAATTAGCCTTTTCCCAAAAGAGATCACAGTGCATTCTGGGATCGTTTGGAGGGACAAAATATGTGGAAACAGGCGTCAAATATGTAGAAGTACTGTATCTACTATCAAATATCAACTTTTTACACGACCAAAAATGAAATATCTCCTTTTTACATTGAACTTTTAATTTAAATGTGTGCTGGCATATTTCTTGTCCCTCCAACAAGGGATTCGCGCGACTAGCCCCAGGACTTTTGGAAATGGCTAATGTAGCTGAGATGAATATACGAGTTATTGTTGATGAACAGTAGACATTAATTTCCCCAGTTTAAGGAAATTTCCTTAAAAATGCCATTTTGCTGAGAATTAGCTAATCAGTTTTTCCGACAGCCAGACGGTCAGATTCCACATCATTTTGACACGATTTTCCTCAGATCTTCGACTTGCCCAAGCATCTCACCCACGAATTTTAGGGCAGCCAAGCGAAGGTTTGTGATCAGGCTGGCTTACTGTAAGCTCTCAAGTAATACTTCTCCAACTGTTTAATTTCTTATACTAATTAATATATGCAGAAATTCCAACTCAATATACCTGTATAGGCTTTGAGGCTTTCCTGTTCACAGCGTAGCACGATTTTACTTGTTTTAGAAGCTTTTTAATTGACTAAATAGAAAAAGAATATTGTGAATTTCATCTGCGCCAGAGGCCAGACTATCCGTCATTTGGATGTGTATTTTTGAATGCGGACGGGCAAAAAATGCTAAGATTTTGCTATAACATTCCATTCAACAGTCACTGCATATCCCTGCACATACATCAACAAGGAAAAAAGTTGATGCGAACATCTCTCGACGGACAAGCAGTTGTCATCGAATAGACTATGCGGCAGGGCCGGATTTTGTGTAAATGTTAGCGGCTTAGTATTCCCGACGTGCCCTTCTAAAGTCAACATTACTGCATACATGTAATGAATATGTACCTATCAATATTGTATCTTTGAGTTATGTAGTTATTGTATATCCGTAGACTAAAGTTTACACTAGAACGGTATAATTGACACTGAGACAAATGATTATCACTTTTGGAGTGGAGTTGCATGAATTTTCAGGGGAGGAACAACAATTCTCAGGAATCCGTTGAAACATGAGGTTATAATTCATGTGCATCTGCCATGCTAAAACAGGCAAACATGGAAACGGGGCAAAAGTGCAATAAATCGTAACGTATATTTACCATAATGTAGCTCCATGGGGACTTATTTTCCCAGTGAATTGGGGGGCTTATTAAAAGGTGGGGGCTATAAGGGACCGGTCATTATCTATGGCCGGGGGCACTGAAGAGAAACATTTTCTTGGCCAATTTTTTTAGTGACCCAACCTTCAAAAAAAAATTTTTTCTCCACCCAACCAAAACCAGCACTCATTCAAAAATCTTAGACCCATCCTAACTTAATTTTGTCAATTTACTTATTTAAAAGCTAAATTGACTTATTTGAGTTTTTGAGAGAACAAAAATGCCAACGTTTGAACTCTGTCACTTTATCATGACTGTTATGGCAAATAGAATACTTTGCAAATCGATATATAAAGTAAATGATGCTTGTGATGTTACTCTGAGTGTATATCCACACTGGGCAAGCTTGAAAAATATGCCTGGCCACAATCAAACCTACGACCTTTGGAATACTAGCCCAATGCTCTGCCAACAGAGCTACGCGGTCAGGTCTGTTCGAGTATGTGGTATTTCGGAACCGAATCTACAGTAG